AGTCGAAAGTGTCATTAGATTTTTCATTAGAACTTTCGTATCCGAGATATTGAAATCGGAAATCTGACAAGGCAAAACTTCGAGATAAAGCTAGCGGTAGCGCTTCGACAGTGCCAGTGCCGTATACTCACAAGTTATCACCCGACTTTTATTTTATATACTTGGCGTCGCACCGCTACCGCAGCGCTTGATATCATTGATCTTTAATGTATTGCAATAACAAAAATTAAAAAGATTGATTAAAACCAAAATGTGAGAAAAATTATTTTTTTATTTACGTTGACCAGAAGTGTTCAACCAGCACTTCATAGATTCTTCAGCACTCTTCAATGACTGATTTTTGAAACGGCTCATTATAGCACCTAAACAAAAGTAGAAAAACAAATATAAATAATCTTTTGGCTTTTAGTTAATCAGCGCAATTATATTATATAGTGAAATTGAACGTTAAAAATCATATAAATCTTTCTAGCAATTTATAATCTTTCTAACATTTATTTAATTCATTATAATAAATTTTTTTTGCATGTTATTGCTTATATTCGATTGATTATGTAAGGCCCAACTACATCAACGTTATTTTGACTTTAAGAGACTTATATTTCTAAATAATTTGTAAAAAAAGTAAAAAGAAGCTCTCATAATTTGAGACTTACAAAACAAAGCTTCTTTGATCCTTGACCTATAAAGAAATTTTTACTCCTTTAGTTCCTTTCCAGCCAACCTGTCTTGCAAGCTCATTGTGTAATACAGTGGACATGAGACAAGTAGCAGCATTCCACTGATCAGTATCGTCATGAATATATCCATTAAGGTAACTGACCTTCAAAACAAAGAAATAAATGCTATGTAAGTAAAAGTATTGTAGAAGATATAAATATACAGAAGTCAGCTTCCTTATACAGGGTGATTCAGAATAACCCCGGTGTCCCTGTAAAGACGTATTCTTGACTCAATTCTAAGACGATTTTTCCTTTACAAAAATTTTGTCCGAAGCTAAGTTTTCAAATTATAACGAGAAATAGTTAGCGAATTACGGGCCGCGTACGGATGGTAGACAGGGGCGGCGCAACTTACTGTCCGCCGGCAGGCGGTACGCGGGACCGT